TTCTCTTCCTTTTTTTTTTGCTCTTTCCCACCCCCTCACTGAAGGTAAGTGTTTTGCTTTTTTCCCTCACACTTCATTTCAAGTCATTAACTAGCCATTGCATAAAATTGAAATTGATATTTCTTATTGTGCTTATTGAACAGTTTTAGTCTCTAGAAGTTGTAGACTGAAAAAATTTATAATTTCTCTCTAAAAACATTGATTTATTTTCTGTCCCCTAGTTAACTCTTGATTAAGAAAAATTTCCCCACTATTTCTCAAATCTGCTGTCTATAAATAACGTGTGATACTCATATTATGACCTTACTTCCATTTGGAATTACTACTAACTTTCAAGAATTTTTAAATTCTTTAAGCCAGAGTATAAATTTTTTATCTAATGTCAGCAGCAAAATTTCTTACCAATTGATTTTTTTTTCTTTTCTACATTTTTGCAGTATGTGTTTTAATGGAGAAAATACTAAATTATTAAAGATTAAGTTTATAAATAAATATTAATGTAAATACAATTCTAGTTTCTCCATATGCTATAAAAATAATTTACACACTCATGTAACTATAAAATCTAAAAATTTTAGGGCGACATTTGTGTTATTTAAATGGATGTTTTTCCTCATGTAAGGGAAGATGTGCTCATGAATAAATTGCATCTACATTACATTACCATGGCTTTGTTTGCAACCCAGCCAGTTTAATAAAAACTAGACAATAGAAAACAAAACCAGAAAATGTTTTGTAGGGAGAACAGTGGCTGTTGTAAGAAGTCTAGTCTTATCTCTGCCTAGGGTCCATCTAAGGCTTCAGCTCACCTTTTATTGCTCTATAATTACTTTGATCCACTGAGTTTTCTGAAATTAAACATTTTTAAATAGCTGTGTCATATTCCTTTCAGTTTAATTTCAGCCTATCCTGGTAGCATTCTGTCTCTTCTTTTGTCATGCAGCACTTGCCATGGAACATGCTCAGATTCGACCCAGGAAAGTTAATTGCTAGCCAAGTACAGCTGCATCTGCACCTTATCAGGGAAAGAGCACTTTATAGTAAAAAAAAAAAAGAGCACCCAAAGGGTGTCTGGACACCCTGGACAAGTTTCTATTTTGAATGACCTTGAGCAAGCACATCAATTCTCTGGTTTTGACTTTCCTCACCTGGAAACAAAGACCTTGGCTTAAAGTATACAGGAGCTCTTCCAGCAAAACAGCCTATTTTTCCAGGACATATTTTCCAAATGTCAGATATAATCTACTAACTGAAGTTAACACACTCCGTGAAGGTGAAAGTAGCTTTTATAACAAGTATCACCCAAACAAGTCAACATTTACCAATGAAACGTACCACTGTACTTGATGCCATAATAGATAATAAAAGACCCTACCCTGGAGGAAGGTAAATCAAGAGTATAAGGCAATAAGTGCATAAAGCAAGTATCCAGAAGAAATTCATAAGCACAGATCACAAGAGGCAAAATGGCATGAAAAACACAAAATGTCAAAAAGCAACTAATCAAAAAGGATTTCCTAGAGGTGACGGTGTTCCAAGAGTCATTAGAAATAAGCTTTACGTACTGTAAAAGTGAAGTCAGGTGTGGGTATGAGGAAGAATGTGTGAAGATACAGAGGCATAAGCAAATATTTAAAATGCCAGGGCAACAGTCAGACTCAATTATATCAGAGGTTTCCTCCCCCGCAGAAATGTGACCTATAACTCACATGAGAAAATGAGAATGCATACTCATGAGGTTCACGTACACTAAGATCACTCTGGTAAAAGTGATCACCTTGCAGGGCCCAGTGGTTCTGAGTCACAGGATCAGTTCAATAACATGTTTAGGGCCTTATGATCTCAGACTTTGTGATCCAATAGCTTCCAAGTGCACTCACTAGGAAGTTCCAATTAGATCACATATCTGTGTCCCTAATAAGTATTTACTCAGTTCATCTGTGACTTCTCATGATATCACTATGAAGAAGAGACAACCCCCCCAACCAAATGACCGGGCAACAAAAGTCAAACTATTCTCAACACTCACTATTTGGAGTAATTCCTATAACTGCTCTTACTTGATTTACCTCACTTTTATGGTAGCAAGAATATAAACCCTCTAAAGTTTCTGAAGGCTTTTTCTATATTTCTTCTTTGGATTAAGGTGATTTCTACTTATTACCCATAAAAAATTTTCCTTCTCAAGTAAAATATACTGAATTTTTCTTTTTAACAAACTGGGGATGGAACCCAGGGCCTATGCATGCTAGGCAACTGCTCTACCCTTGAGCCATGTCCGAAGCACTACTACTCTTATAGGTCTAATCAATGATGAGACCAGTTCACTTTAGACTACAGTAAATCAGCAGACATTTTTATTATATCATGAAAAACCATGACAAAATCTGCATTTAAGAAAGCTTTTATAGCAGCTAGAGACGTCAAAGTGGTGCTGATAAATGAACTGATAATGGACACAAGTGAGAAGCCACGGACCTGGCTTTTCTAGTCTTCTACATATAAAATAAAAAAGGCCAGGCATGGTGGTGCATGACTGTAATCCCAGCAGCTTGAGAGGCTGAGGAAGGAAGATAGAAAGTTTGAAGTTAGCCTCAGCAAGTTACTGAGACACTGTCTCAAAATAAAAAGGGCTGGGAATGTGGCTCAGTAGCTAAGCACCCCTGTGTTCAATCCTTGGAAACAAAAAACAAAAAACAAAAAAACTTTATGCTGGACTGGTTGCATGAAAATAATGAGAAGTCACAAATGCATGCTATGTACATGAATAAAGGGTAAAACTATTGTAAGATGCACTGTTGGAATTAAGGGAACTAAGGAGATGCAGAGCTTTAATACTAAAGGACTAAATTTGGACAAGTCCTACAGTATAGTGGAAAGATGGTTAGGAAGCCCGTTGGGAAGGCAGGTATTCAACATTCATCTATTTCTACAACTTACTGGGAATTTACTAAGTGCAAGGCACTGTAGTAGATCTTTAGAACATCATACTTGCCAAATCAAATCCTGTCCCTTTCTCCACACATTTTGCAACTATCCATATGATTGCTAAGTAATCAAGTTTTATTTAGATCACTACAGTAAGAAAATTCAGCTGTTATAGAAAGGGACCCCCATCTAGTCTGATATCTAAGACCTGAAGAGTAATATGGGGAAGAAAAAAAAAAACAAGAGCTAGTAAGAGTAAGGTATTCAAATGAGAACAATTTTCAGTGAGCTTTGAGGTATTCATGAGAAATCCAATTATTTTCTAGCAATTTTGTGCCAGACTCTTCAGTATGCAGACTCTTCACATATGCTATTCATTCAACTCATACAAGAGCACTGTGAGATAATTATTATTCCGTTTTCTAAATATAGGAACTTCAAATCAAACACACTAAATTGACCAGGGTGGCAGGGCAGATAAGTACCAAAGTTGGAATTTGCCCTATTCTGTCTCAAAGATCCTACTCTTAGCACATTGGGACTTTTTTTTATTCTGAAGGAATCTCTCTCTCTACTGGTTACTTATGGCACTATCTTTGCTCCGAGTAAACCCAAACTATTTTTTTATAGGTCTTAAAATATTTAAAGACACAATTATGCTCACAACCTAGCTCTGTCTTTCACCACATTGTAAAGAAATATATTTGCATATCCTCATCAAAAGAACAATGACCTCATAACCTCTTTCTACTTTGTGTATTCCTGTTGATAAGGTAATATTTTATATTGAGACATGACCTGTTATAAGCCCATATGCATAGCTCAGCCTTCTGCTCCACTCCCTTGAACAGTCCAGGTTCTCTTTCAGTCTCCTTCAAGGTACATTTTTTTTTCAACTTGGCCTCCTTTATTGTTATGCCCTAGTGCTTTCTGACATTGTTTATTGATGAGCATTTGTCACAACCTTCTCCGCCTCTTTCTCATGTACCTTTCTTTGTCTCAGTCTTTCATCTCAATTATCTGACATGTTTAATTCTCTCACCTCAACATGTTTCCCTATTTGCTGTTTGTCTTACTCATTAGCTACCTCCAGGTTCTGTTCTTCTCTTGAGTTAAACTCCTACAGAGTTGGTTGAATTTTCTGTGCAAAAACTAAGATATTTCAATTTATGGTCATGTTCTAATCATAATCTGTAAGCAAAATATGGAATAAACTTCAAGATGCAAAACACCAGATGAGTTTGTACTGGAGAGAACACCTGCAGTAAGACTTGGGAATCAATGAAAAAGGAGAAACCACTTTCTACCTTAAAAACAAGTCATATATAGCAAACACTTTATTTTTCTATGCCTGTGAGAACTACAGATCATTGGTTTGAAATAAAACACATTTGAGGAATTTAAGAAAAGTTGTCAAATGCCTCTATGACATATAGGTGTTTCATGATTTCTAATTATCGACTTTATAATCGCTTTCAGCTTGCAAAGACAAGAAATTATTCTGTGCCAATGTATATGAAATCCCATAAATGTTCCTGGTAAAACATACCAAGTCTCATGATATGGAGAAGGGGGAAGTAGAAGACTCAAACTTTAAAAAGATATATTTATTTTCTGTTGTCTTTAAATTAGCAAAATCTACTGGATTATACCACTTAAAGTTTATATGTATCATATGTAATATCACCAATAGCATTTTCTGATTTTTAATCAATTAAATTAACCAATACTCACTATATACAATAAAATTTAGGAAATTCATTTTTTTTCTATTAGTTCTCACACAAAACAAATGCTCCTACTCATTCCATCTTTGAGAGAGTTCTAATATTGGGAAATTCACAGGATACAAGTGGCTCTACTACCGTGACTAGTTTTCAAAAGAAAAAAGTAAATGTCTGAGCACTTAAAAAACAACTGTATACATTTATTCTGAATTCTTTTCATTGATATTTTGCTTGCTTTTTTCTATTTTGTATTTTATCTCATTTTGTATGATATAATGAGGTAGTCTGAGACTCCCCATCCAAGGCCAGAATGAATAGACATTTTCCCAATTTTGGGTTTTCTACCTTGTCACATGAAGAGATGCTTCCTTGCAGAAGAATCGAGGAGAAAGTTTCAAATCTTTCAACTCCACTCACTATCCCTTTGAGAGAAGAGAAGGTCTTATCCAATTGCACCAACAGGAAAAGAGTGACTACCCACAAATAGCCTCTACACCCTTCATGACTTTTAAGCCACAGAGAACGTGAGTTCTCCTCCCACTCCTGATTGTAAATGAGCACACCTGAGTCCACAGCAAGGGTTTTCAGAGTGTAGTCCTTGCATCAGTTAAATGGGTACCACCTGTAATCTTGTTAGAGATACAAATTATCCAGCTTCATCCAGAAACTACTGAGTCTGAAACCCTGGAGTTAGGACCTAAAAATCCATGTTCAGCAAGTCCTTTGAGGATTTTTATCCAAACTGATGTTTAAAGATCAGTTCTTCTAAAACTGATTCTAAAATTTTAACATGCAAATGAATGAATAAACAGCACTACTATAATTCTGAGTTAGGGCCCAAACTTCTTCATCTTTAACAAGGTCTCAGGTGATAAATACTCTTAGTCCTTAAGCCTCCTTTCAACTGTGGCTAATCATTGGAATCATCAAGAAAGTTTTAAACTACTAATGACTGGCCCTATCTCCAGAGATTCTGATTTACTTGATCTGGTATGTAGCCTGTGCACTGGAGCCAATTATATTAACTGGTATCACTGGTATTTCAGGCTCTAGATCTATCTTTGCTAGTTCTAAGATCATACAGGGAAGGAGGAACCAGGAAGCTCATTAAGAAGTTAGCAAAATCTGACTTGACTCAAGTCCACAGGGAGAAATGTGGTTTCCCTGGAATCACTTAACTGTTGGTATTTTTTGACAAAACTCTTAAGACCCCAGAATTGAAAAGCTAAGATGAGGACTTGAGCTTAGGAGACAGGAAGCAAAGTTTCCTCAGGTGGCTTTTTAAAAGACATCACAGCCCTCATATGATCTATTTGGTTTATCAGAGAAAGAGACTAGATAAGGGAACTGAGCCACCTCTCTAGGGGGTTACAAGAATGTGGATTAGGTGAGTTTCCTCTGGGCAGCTGGTCCTGAGTATCTTATGATAAAGAGCTGGTACTGAGGTGATCCCAGATCCTTGTTATCTCCCTCCTGGGGGTGTGCCTAGAAATCAAGATCCACTGAGAACTCATCCAACCAATAAATGCTTCCTAAAGGCCTGCTTATTAGCAAGCTTGGTCCCAGGTACTGGGATAAGAGGGAATTCTATGTCCAGAATCAAGGTGTGAGGGCACCCACAAACTCTGTCCCTACAGAAACAAGTATAAAGAGCAAAACTTTTTTTTTTTTTTAATTTTAAAGTCTGCAAATTTTCTTATGGGCAAAGACACAAGAAGCATATATTCAAGAAAATTCACCAAAACTCACTGAGAACAGTAAGAGTCTGACTTTTATACCATTACACACTCCCTAAGTATAAATGTGTGCCTATAAATTAGATAACTCAAATATAATGGACAAATTACTAAAAAGACACAGACTACCAGAGGTGACTCAAGAAAAAAATAGAAATCTGAACAGATTAATAGTAAGTAAAGTGACTCTATTCAATATTTAAAAAAAAAATTCTGCAAAGAAAAGTCCAAGCCCAGATGACTTCATTGATAAATTTTACCAATCATCTAAAATAATACCAGTTATTCACAAACTTTACCACAACATGGAAGAGGAGGGAATACTTCAAATTCATTTTATGAGACCAATATTACCCAGTACCAAAACAAGACAAAACTTTACAAGAAAACTATAGACCATATCTCTTATGAATATAAATAAAATAAATCCTCATCAAAATCCAATCAAGCAAAATCTATCAACATAAAAAAAAAAAACTTGTATACCAGGACTGAAACTTATTGCAGGAATTCAGGTAGATTTGATATCCAACAATCTATTAATGTAATACACAATATCAATAGAATAAAGACAAAGTTCACTTAAATAGACTCAGAAAAAATATTTTTGAAAAAGTTTTTGAAAAAATCCAACACCCCTTTAGGTTAAAAGCTTTGAACAAAACAAGATAAAAGGGAATTTCACCTAATAAAGGGAATATATTTAATTCAATCTCTATCAAAATCACAAAAGGCTTTTAATTTTTTTTTCAGAAATTGACAAGCTGATCCAAAATTCATACGGAGATGCAAGGGACCCAGGAGAACCAAAACACCTTGAAAAGAAGAACAGAATTGGAGGACACTCACTTCCCAGTTTCAAAACTTACTACCCAACTACAGGAAGCAAGATAGTGTACTACTGGCATAAAGAACAGAATTCAAAGTCCAAATAAATCTTTACATTTATAGTTGATTAGTTGTCACGTGGATGCCCAAACAGTTCAACAGGGAAAGAACAGTCTTTTCAACAAATGGAACTGGGACAAGTAACAGACACATTTTTAAAAATTAAGTTGGATCCTTTATTGTCCTAATCCCTTCAGGCTGCTATGGCATATACTAGGTGACTTATAAACATCAGAAATTAGTTCCTCAGAGTTCTAGAAGCTAGGAAACCCAAGATCAGTATTCTAACCCTATCAGGTTCTGGCCCTTCTAGATTGCAAATCGCCAAATATTGGCTGTGCCCTTCCATAGTAGAAGTACAAGAGATACTCCTGGCTCTGCTTCAAGAGAGAACTAATCCCTAATATGTGGGATCTGCCTCCATGACCTACTGACATCCCAAAGGCTTTGGATGTACCATAACGTTGAGGGCTAGGCTTTCAACATGTTAATTTTAGGAGAACATAGACATTCAGTCCATTGCATTCACCATCTTTAAAAGAAAAGATCTACTTATAAGAGCTAAAACTACAAAACGCTTAGAAGAAAATACAGATATAAATATTCATGACCTTAAAGTATGCAATGGGATATTTTTTAGAGCATTATAATTATACAGAGTATTTAGGGTCATTTGACAAAATCATGCATGCAAGGAATTTGAGCTCACTCCCTTCTCCCCCACCTTTTCCTCTCCTCCTCGTTCCCCCTCTACTCTATTTTTCCTCCTCTACTCTATTAAACTTCCTTTCTTCTACATATATAAAGATGAAATTCCCTTTGTTATCTTTATATATGAATATAATGTGATTTTGTTAAATTCATTCCATTTTCCTTCCCCTTTCCTTTCCTTCCTCACTCTCATTCTTCTCCTTCTACTCCACTGATTTTTCCTGTATCTTGATTCTACTCCAGTGCCCTCTCCAACTGCCTTCTTTCCCTTGTTTTTCTCTAACTTCCACATATGAAAGAAAACATTCAATCACTGATTTTCTGGAGTCTGACTGATCTCACTTAACATGATTTTCTCCATGTCTGTCCATTTACCAGCAAGTGCCATTATTTCATTCTTCTTTATGGGTAAGTAAAACTCCATTGTATATTTATACATTTTCTTAATCCATTCATCTACTGAAAGGCATCTGGGTTTATTCCATAATTTGGCTATTGTGAACTGTGCTGCTATCAACACTCATGTGGTTGTATCACTATAGTATGCTGATTTTAGATCTTTGGGATAAATAAGGAGGAGTGGGATAGCTGAATCATATAGTGGTTCCATTCCTAGTTTTTTGAAGAATCTCCACACTGCTTTCCAGATTGGCTGTACTAATTTGCAGTCCCACCAAAAATGAAAGAGGATATCTTTTTTCCCGAATTCTTGCCAGCATTTATTATTATTTGTGTTCTTGATAATTGGTATTCTGACTGGAATGAGATGTAGCTTTGATTTGCATTTCACTAATTGCTAGAAATGCTGAACATTTTTTCATATATTTCTTGACCATTTGTGTTTCTTCTTTTGAGAGGTTTCTGTTTAGTTCTTTTGCCCATTTATGGATTTGGCTATTTGTTTTTGTTTTGCATTGAGATTTTTTTAGTTCATTTCATTAAAAAAAACCTCATTTATTAAAAACACTGGTTTTTTTTCTCCAACATATATTTTTAGCACCTTTTCAACTATCACAACAACTATGGCTGTAAAAAATGTGGGTTTGTCTCTGCCTTCTATTCTATTCCATTTGTCTTCATGTCTATTTTGATGCTAATACTATGGTTGCTTTTTTTTTTTGCAACTATACCTTGATAATATAATTTGAGGTCAGGTATGATAATGCCTCCTGCATCACTTTTCTTATTCAGAATTGCTTTGGATATTCTGAGTGTCTCATTCTTCCAAATAAATTTTAGGACTGTTATTTTTCTAGTTCTATGAAGAATTTCATTCATATTTTGATGGGGATTGCATTGAATTTGCATATTGCTTTTGGTAGTCAGGCCATTTTGACATCATTAATTCTGCCTATCCAAGAACATGGGCAATCTTTCCATTTTCTGAGTCCTCTTCGATTTCTTTCTTCAGTGTTCTATATTTTTCATAGTAGAGATCTTTCACCTCCTTGGTTTGATTAATTCCCAGGTATTTATTTTTCTTGAGGTTGTTGTGAAGGGGATGGTTTTCCTGATATGTTTCTCAGCTACTTCAGTGTTGGAGCATAGAAAAGCTATTGATGTATGAATGTTGATTTTGTATCCTGCTACTTTACTAAATTCCTTTATCATGTCTAGAAGTCTTCTTGTGGAACTTTTTGGCTCTTCTAGATATAGGATCATGTCATAAGCAAACATGTATAGTTTGACTTCTTCTTTTCCAATTTGTATGCCTTTAATTTCCTTCTCTTGCCTGATTTCCCTGGCTAGAGTTTTGAAAGCTATATTAAACAGAAGGTGTCTGAGTAGACATTCTTGTTTCTTTCATGATTTTAAGGAAAAGCTTTCAGTTTATCTCCATTCAGTATGATGTTGACTCTAGATTTGTTGTATATGGGCTTCATAATGTTAAGGTGAGTTTCTTCCATCCCTAGTTTCTCCAGTGTTTTTAACATGAATGGTTTTTGTATTTTATCAAAGGTTTTACTACATCTAATGAGGTGATCAGGATTGTTATTCTTAATTCCACTTACGTGATGAATTACATTTATTGATTTGCATATGTTGAACCAGCTTTGCATTCCTGGGTTAAAGCTCATTTGATCATGTTGTATTATCTTTATGTTTTTGAATGTGGTTTGCTAATAACTTATTAAGGATTTTTGCATCTATGTTCATCAGGGCTATTGGTCTGTAGTTTTCTTTCCTAGATGGGTATTTGTCTGGTTTTGGTATCAGGTTTATATTTGCTTCATCGAATGTGTTTTGGAGTGTTCCTTCCCTTTCAATTTCAGGCAATAATTTGAGAAATACCAGAGTTAGTTCTTCTTTAAAAGTCTTGTAGAACTCTGCTGAGAATATATCTCGTCCTAGGCTCTTCTTTTTGGAATACTTTAAATTGCTGTTTTGATTTCATTATTTGATATTGGTCTGTTCGGGTCTTCTATATCCTCTTTGTTCAGCTGGGGCAAGTTGTATATATCTGGAAATCTGTCAATGACTTCTAGATTTTATAGCTTATTGTAATATAAATTTTCTAAATAATTTCTAATGATCTTCTGAACTTCAGAAGTGTCTGTGGCTATATCTCCTTTTTCATTTCTAACCTTCTTGATTTGGATCTTCTCTTTAGTTGATTTACTAATTGTTCATCAATATTTTTTATCATTTTGAAGAACAAACTCTTCATTCCATTGATACCTGTGTAATTTTTTAATATTCAATTGCATTAATTTCAGCTAAGATTCTTATGATACCTTGTCTTCTACTGACTTTGGTATTATTTTGTTCTTCTTTTTCTAAGGCTTTGAGGTGGAGCATACGTTTTTTGGGGGAAATCTCTCTATTTTTTTAATCTAGGTGTTCAATGCAATGAATTTTCCTCCTAATACTGCTTTCATGCTGTCCAAAACATTTTGATATGTTGTATCTCTGTCCTTATTTGTTTCTAAGAATTTCTTGATTTCTTCACTCATTTAGTCTTTGATCCATTTTTCATTTAAAAGAAAAATGTTTAACCTCTATCTTTTATGTGGTTTCTAATATTTTTCGAATTTTATTCCATTATGGTCTGATAAAATTCAAGGGATTATATTGATCTTTTTGTATTTGCTAAGACTTCTTGTGACCTAGAAATATGTTATATTTTGTAAAAGTTTCCATAAGCTGCTGAGAAGGTGGTAAATTCAGCAGTTTTGGAGTGGGATATTCCATAGATATCTATTAGGTCCATTTTATTTACAGTATTATTTAGGTTGGATATATCTTAATTGATTGTATGCTTTGATAATCTATCTATTAGTGATAAAGGTATGTTGCAATCACCTAGTATTATTGTGTTGAGATCTATCTGTGATTTAATGTCAAGGAGTATTTTTTTAATGTAACTGGGTGTGTTGACATTTGGGGCACATATATTTACTATCATTTTACCTTCTTGTTGGATTGTGTCAAACTGTATGGGCTTTAGAATTTCCAATCCCTATAGCTTATTTCATATAAATAGAATCATATAATATGTGGCGTTCTGTGACTGGCTACTTTTCACTTAGCATGTTTGCAAAGTTCATTCATGTCATCATTCCTTTTATGGACGAACAATATTCCATTGGATGGATATCACAATTTGTTTATCCATCCATCAGCCATGGACCTTTGTGTTGTTTCCACTCCTTGGAAATAGTGCTGCTATAAGCAGGAAGACAAGAAAACAGAAAAAAAAAAAAGTCTTGTAAGAACTAAGGAGCTTGTTTTTTGCTGAGGTGGTCAAAACTATTAGGAGAGATGGAATTTCAAATTTTATGTTTGATTTTGGCTTTGTGGACTTTGGGTCAAGGTCTGCCTTTGTGGTTAGGAGGCCCAGCTGGTTTTAATAGACCTCAGATTTCAGTCTCCATGGTGTATCACAATTCAGGTACAAATTGTGTGTTCCTGTGATGGAGGTAGTATAGTGTTCAAAACTGGAGATTCTAGTAATTGGGGTTTAGTCTTCAACTGAACTTGAAACTCTTGGGGAGGGAGTTTGAGAACTGATTCACACTCCGTATTTTGGGAGATGCCCCTCGCTACAGGATGACTATACCTCTAAGGTCTCTGATAAAATCCACTTTTGGGCATAGGAACAAAACCTCCACAGGTTTAGTTTCACCACTATACATATGAAATACTGGGCATCTGCCCTGGGCTGCAGATGCTCCTGTGTGACCGTACAATACAAGCAATGAAAATAGCTTTCTCCCTTGGAATCTAGAACCTGAATGTTCCAGGTATAATGTTCTTTGTGTTTATTTTTATCTCTCTGGTTCAAGTGTCTTCTGGAGATTTTTGTTTTAAGTTATGCGCAGGTGTTCCCAATTTCCCTCACTGCTAAAAGTTGTACTGGGTGCAAGTGGGGTGACGGTACCAGAGGCATTTTTTTCCATCTGACATTCAAGCCCACCATGGCTGCAGCAGCTTTTTCCTGCCAGGTGCCTCCCATGCACACATGCACATGTAGAGGCTTTTTCTCTTGGGCACTCTCATGGACCCCAGCCGCAATGTCAGTGCTGGTGCTTCTGAGGGGGATAGATTTCCCTGTGGGGGAAATGCACCCACGTGGTTATTATGACAGATGCTTTCTTTGCCAGCCCAGCCTGCAGAGACTGGCTGCAGCAGAGGGCAGCTTTTCCTAACAAACACTGTGAGCGCAATGAACTCTTTTTATCTGCTCAGGACCAATTCCGCAGGGAAACTAATTTTGGATATGCTTACGCTAAGCTGATTCCCCTACAGACTCTGTGTTCTTACTGTTTAACACACAGTTTTTCCCAAAGCCTTTTTTTAAAACTTTTTATTATTATTATGATTTCTTTACCCATTGCCCCTCCCCTTCATTAGGGCCCCAACTGGCACTCCTGTTTTTTTCTTACCTTCAAGTTTCTGACTTTGTGCATCTCTATAATTTTAATTCATTTATAAATATATTTTTTAGTTGTCAATAGAACCTTTATTTATATTCGATGCTGAGAATCACTGCCTCACATATGATAGGCAAGCGCTTTACCACTGAGCTACAACCCCAGCCCCTATAATTTTGTTTTTTTAACAGTTCAATGATAAGTTTCAGTTAGTTCCCTGTAGTTACCTACCTTGCTGAGAAGCTGTCTTCTCACTTTGTGAGGGAGTTGCTGTGAAGTGCTTCTTTCCTCTGTTTCACCATCTTCCTTTCCCACTCCCCAACCCATGGGTTTGTTTTTTTAGATATGATACCTGTACTGCAAACTACTAAATAAAAAAACACATACTTTAGACTTCATCAAAATTATAAACATTTGTGCTTCAAAACTGCCTTCAAATAAGTAAAACAACAACCCACAGAATGGAAAAAAATATTGGTAAATCATATATCTAATAAGGAACTCATAACAAAAGTATACAAAGAAGTCCCACAACTCAATAATAAAAGCACAAATAATCCAATATTTTAAATGAAAAAAAATATTCCTCCAAATAAGATAGAAAAAGGCTTACAAGCATATGCAAAATGTCAAACATCACTAGGAAAATGCAACTAATCACCAAGAGATGCCACTTTATACCCACCAGAATGGTTATAATAAAAAATAGGTAATAAAATGTGTTAGAATGTGGAAATATCAGAACCCTCACACTGCTGGTGGGAATGTTTGGGAAAATATGGTAGGACAATTCTTTGGCAGTTCTTCAGAAGGTTAAGCAGAGTTACCTAGGACTCTACAATTCTGGTTCTTATATAAACTCATAGTAATAAAAACACATGTACAGCCCACAAAAACTAGTACAGGAGTGCTTATAACAGCACTATTCACAATAGCCAAGGAGTGGAAACCACACAAAGGTCCATGGCTGATGGATGGATAAACAAATTGTGATATCCATCCAATGGAATATTGTTCATCCACAAAAGGAATGATGATGACGTGAATGAACCTTGCAAACACACTAAGTGAAAGTAGTCAGTCACAGAATGCCACATATTATATGATTCTACTTATATGAAATAAGCTATGGAGATGGAAATTCTACCCTCATAATTTTCTATCAGGGTGGAATAAGATGTCATGGGAAGACATACATGTACATATAACCTTGACTTGGGAGTGGAATTTTTGAACTTTGTAGAGAAAATAATGTCAGTTTAAGACCAGTGGAATAAAAGGGAGTGAGTAAAGAGAATAACTAAAACAAGGAGAAAATTTCAAATAAGGGAATTTATATGGTGCAGGGCTAGAGCAAGTACGGACATTTGAGAGACTAAAATAAGTTATGTGACCTAGTAAGACAGCTGAATATTAACTGGGGCTTGTCTGTGAGGGGTGCCAGAGATTAGAAAAATGATCATGAACAATCTTGTGGGCCAATGTATAAAAATATGAGTACAAATTTATACTCCTCAAGAAAAAAAATGGGGATACATTGAAGAGAATGGAGAAAAGCATTGGTAAGATATGGCTTCATATATACACCACATTTGGATTTATTTGATTTAACTGGTAGTTCTTGAGTTCCTATATATAGGCCCAGGAAAAAATTAATCTAGTTATAGAATATGTAAAAGTCAAAGCACATACTTTGTCAGATTGACAAATATGACAATAGACACACAAAAATTTCTTCTTGGCAAATATTACCAAAAGTATAGTCAAAAGACAATTAGATAGTAGAATGGATCGGACATTATTACCTTATGTACATAGGTGATTACATGACCAGCATGATTCTACGTCATGTACAACCAGAAGAATAGACTTAATTTATGTATTATGTGTCAAATGCATTCTACTTTCATGTATAACTAATTAGAATACAAAGGGAAACAGACTTTTATTTATTTGTGATGCTAGGGGTTGAACCTAGGGCCTCATGTATGCAAGGCAAGCACTGTACCAACTGAGTTATATCCCCAGCCCCAAGACCAATATCCCTGATGAACATAGTTACAAAAATTCTCAATAAAATTCTGGCAAACTGCATACAAAAACATATTTTAAAAAAATGATGCACTACGATCAAGTTGGGTTCATCCCAGGGATGCAAGGTTGGTTCAACATATGGAAATCAATAAACATAATTCATCATATTAATAAATTTTAAAACAAGAATCAGATGATTATATCAATAGATACAGGAACAACATTTGACAAAATACAGCACACTTTCATGTTCAATAGAGTAGAAAAACTAGGGATAGTAGGAACATATCTCCACATTGTAAAGCTATCTATGTAAACCCAAGCCAACATCATTCTAAATGGAGAAAAATTGAAATCATTCCCTCTAAAAACTTGGACAAAAAGGAACTTCTTGAATAGAAGTTTACAACTCTTATTCAACTTGGTCCTTGAAATTACAGCGAGAGCAATTAGACAGGAGAAAGAAATTAAAGGGATACAAAAAGGAAAAAAAACTCAAACTATCACTATTTATGATGACATGATTCTATATTTAGAAGATCCAAAAAGTCCCATCAGAAAACTTCTCAAGCTAATAAATGAATTCATCAAAGTAGCAGGATATAAAATCAACACCAAATCAAACTCATTCCCTATACATCCATGATGAATCTACTGAAAGAGAAATTAGGAAAACTACCCCATTCACAGTAGCTTCAAAAAAAAATAAAATACTTGAGAATCAATTTAACAAAAGAGGTGAAAGACCTCTACAATGAAAAGTACAGGACACTAAAGAAAAAATAACTGAAGACTTTAGAAGATGGAAAGACTTCCCATGCTCCTGGTTGGGCAGAATTAATATTTTCAAAATGCCCATACTACCAAAAGTGTTATACAATTTAATGCAATTCCTATTAAAATCCCAATGACATTCTTCATAGAAATGGAAAAGGCAATTGTGAAATTCATTTGGAAAAATAAGAAACCTATAATAGCTAAAGCAATCTTTAGCAAGAAGAGTAAAGCAGGAAACATCACAATACCAGACCTTAAACTATACTACACAGCCACACTAACAAAAACGGCATGGTATTAGCACAAAAATAGAGATAAAGACCAATGGAACAGAATAGAAGACACAGGGACAAACACACATAAGTACAGTTATCTCATACTAGAAAACAGTGCCAAAAACATTCACTGGAGAAAAGATAGCCTCTTAAACAAATGGTGCTGGGGAAATTGGAAATCCATATGCAAAAAAATGAAATTAAACTTCTATCTCTCGTCATGCACAAAACTCAACTCAAAGTGGATCAAGTACCTAGGAATAAGACTATAGACCCTGCACCTAATAGAAGAAAAAGCAGGCGCAAATCTTCATTGTGCTGGCTTAGGAGCTAACTTCCTTAACAAGCACAAGAAGTATAATCAAGAATCAATAAATGGGATGGATTCAAACTAAAAAGCTTTTTCACAGCAAAAGAAATAATCAATAATCTGAAGAGAGAACCTACAGAATGGGAGAAAATCTTTACCACCTGTACCTCAGATAGAGCATTAATCTCTAGGACATGTAAAGAACTCAAAAAACTCAACACCAAAAAATAGCAGCTCCGTTCACCATAGCTAAACTATGAAACCAACCTAGGTGTCCTTCCACAGAGGGGAGTGAAAGGAGGGGAGGAGGTATGGTGGTGGAAAGGATAACAGAATGAATAGAATGAATCAGACATTATTACCCCCTGTATATATATATATGACTACATGACTGTTGTGATTCCACATCATGTACCACCAGAAGAATGAGAAGTTACACTCCATTTATATATGATGTGTCAAAGCACATTCTACTGTCATGTATAACTAAATAGAACAAATACAAAATTTTTTTTAAAAAAGAATAAGTCAAAAAGTGATCCTTTATAATGATAAAAGAATCCACTAGTGTGATAGAGTATCTTAAATCTGTGGTGCTTGATAATGTACCATATATATGGTACATTATCTTTATATATGTATATACATGTATATACATATATATATATATATATAGAGAGAGAGAGAGAGAGAGAGAGAATTAAGCAGAAATATTCAAACCCACAATCACAATGGAAGCATGAAACATTTCGTACTGAAACTGTTAGAACAAGCAATAAATAAATAAATAAGAACATATATACATATAATGATGAAGAAAGTCAAAAAAAAGCAAGTAAAAATTACTTCAAGATATATATTTTTGCCTAGTTAGCTGGCAAAGCCCAGAAAGATTGAAAATGTTCTGTGCCAGCAAACAGATGACTAAAAAGGTACATTCAAGCGTTTCTGGTGAAAGTACAAGTTGATATAACTTGTCCAGAAAGAAATGTAACAAATGTTATCACATGAAACACATTTTTGACTTGGCAATTCAACTTCAGAGAATTTAACCTATAAGCAACCTCATGGATGTACAAAAGACCTACTTCTGAGGTTTTTTTTTTCATTACAGTATCTATCTATCTATCTATCTATCTATCTATTTGTTTTCTAAGAGAGTGAATTTCTTAAATTTAGTTTTAGCTAATACATAAAATTCATGTGATCTTTCAATACATGTATACACTGCCTAATGTTTAGAACAGAATAAATATATCTATCTTTTCAAACACATATCATTTTTTACATTGAAAATATTCAAACTTTTATCCAGCTTTTTGAAATATGCAATGCATTATCATTATCTATAGCCATCCTACTCTGCAACAGCACACCAAAACTTCTTAGTCCTGTATAACTGGAACTTAGTATTCATCAATCAACATGTCCCCATCTCTTCCTCTCTCCTACTCTCCCCAGCTTCAAGTAACTTATACTCTGAACTTCTATGAGACCAATGGTTTTAGATTCCACTTATGAATGAGATCATCAAATACTTGTCTTTCTGTGCATAGATACTTTTTCTGCCGATGGATTCTTTGATTGTTTTCATTTTTAGCTATTATAAATGATATTGCAATAAATATGGGAGTGCAGATATCTCTTCAATACACTGACTTTATTTCCTTTGGAGATGCACTAGAGCCTAGAATCACTGGATCATGCCATAGTCTTCCACAATGGCTTTACTAATGTGCATTCCCACCAACAGTGGGCAAAAGTTCCCTTTTTCTCCACATCCTCACCAGTACCTGATATCATTTGTCTTTTTGATATTAGCCATTTCCACTGGAGTGAGGTGATATCTAATTGTGATTTTGTTTTGCATTTCCCTAATGATTACCCATTTTTTAATTAGGTTATTTGGGGGTTTTTGTTATTGAGTTTTTAGAGTACTTATATATTCTGGATATCAAAGACTTATCAGAT